ACGAGCCAGTCACAAAAGAGCGCATACAGGAAGATCTGTAAGAAGATGATCACTATTGAATGATTCCTGTACTACTTCCTATTGATAGTCTCTGGATCACACACCCAATGAATTGTTTATTGAGCTACAAGAATTGAAAGAAGTCAGCGCAAATGAATACCAATGGCATGAATGTGCTAGGTAAAATATTCAATAAGCTTTATGACATAGACATTCTCTTGCATATGATTAGATGGATTCGATACGAAGAAGACTATGATTTCGAAATGGAACGATGGCAAGGTAAGCTTTATTCGAACAGAGTTAATGCTTATGTTTGCCTTTCGTAGCTCCGCGTATCGGTTGTTTGAATTTTCACAGTTTACTTGAATTACGTCGAGGGTTACAATATGGTAAGTAGATTACGTGTAAAAGTATTCTCTGTTGTAGAAATTAGGATTTACAAAGCATGTGAAAGCGTTTATCTTGAAAACTGTCATTTGATTCGTCTTTTACAAGAATTACGATAAGTTTTAGAGTTGTACTAAATTCGAACTTGATAAAAATAACATCAATCTAGTCGCCTGGATTCCTCTCGAGAGTTCAAAACAAATGTTTGGCTCTTTTTCTTAATAACCATCACTTTCATGTCTGACAGTTTGATTTAATCTCTTCTCTAGGTATCGTATTACTCGACCTTGAAGAACAGAAGCTTGAGTGTATATACGAAGCAATTCTTAATGATGCTATTGCTAATGGACAGATGAATAAAGATGTTAAAGATGAAATTCTTCGTCGTTTAACAAGCGTTCACAAGTAGGGATAGAAGTATTTTATTCAGTGATTGATTGGATTTGAAATGAATTTCTCAGACATCCTGAAGCACGTTCTTATCGTCGTCGATCGTCAACCGTCGATTGTCCTCCAGCGTCCTCGGGTCGTCGATCAAGTTTAGCATTTCGTAAGAATGAACAGATCAATCTCGAAGCCAACAATCGACGCATGAGTCTTCTCGATTCTAAAGCCAATGGTGAACTGAAAAATCTGCGTAATCTTGTAGTCAAAGTTGGTTAATCTCTTTTGAATTGAAAAAAGCACTTTGTCAACTCAATTTTCATCTTTAAGTACGAGAATACAGAAGAAGTCATTACGGCTGATTCGCAGCCGAAGAAGTATTTGCCGGAACAAGCTGACTCGGGTACTGATTATAATAGTAATGATAGTGTCAATCAAGCTCCTCGTTTATCTGTTACGCAAGGTGTTTTTATTCAACGACAAGTGCAAGGTTCAGGAAAGAAAAATCGTGATTCAAATCCATATAAAGTAAGACATTGAATTCGTTCTAATCGAAGTTTGACTGATGAACGATTGAAACCATTCTGACAATCTTCCGCATCATCACTCTTAAACGACATGACGCTGCGATGTTTTCGCTGACAAATTAATTGTACTAGAAGTCGAACTCGAGATATGCAAATGTCGATCAGATCTTGTCTGAGTAATTGATATTGAATTCAGTTCAAGCGTAGTTTTCCACTGAATTTCGACCAGGACATCATCAGTCATCTCTCAGGGGGTTTCTTCGCTTAAATGAAAAAATCTCAATAATTCTTGATTATTATCATTTTACATATCCGATGAGACCGTTAATTCGTAGAATAATATTTGTCTTTCATTTTAGTCTGATGTTATGCGGTGCGTTTCGGAGCACGCGGAATGCGCTGAAGTATTAATTGGCAGTATACGCAGTTTAACTCGGCCCATTATGGCATTTGTTCGTCTTTCACATGGCCAACTTATTGGTAAAAACTCTTTTCCTCTCCATTGTTATTCCACTATTGTTGTCGGTTTAGATGACATCACTGAGGTGCCATTGCCGCTTCGATTTCTGTTCCTATTAGTCGGTCCAGCCATGGAGGAATATCTTGAAATCGGCCGTGCATTGAGCACACTCTTCAGTACTTTGGTAAGTTAGCATTTAAAGAGTTGTTACTTCAATTGATTTTTCTCTTTGGTATCAAGGACTTCCGAGAGGCAGCCTATCAAGCAATGGATCGTCGTGACCTTCTCCATGGTATTAATGACTTTCTTTCAGATTCCATCGTTTTGCCACCGGGTGACTTTGATAAAGAATTGTTACTACCGATTATTGAAACGAATAAAATGAAAAAAATGAATATCAAACGGCGATCAACTCGTCTACAATCGCAACATATTGATCGACTGCATGACACTGAGCACCAACCATCACAAGGTAAGATGATGATGATTTCGTTGTTAGCCATGTCGTAAACATTCATTTCTTGGCTTTCAGCAGCAAAGATTTTATTATGTAAGTTATTGGGAACGAATTTCTAGACGAATAAAAAACGATCTATTTTTAGCCCAAATGTCGACGTTATCACGTGATAAACACGATGAAGATCCATTTCAACGCAGTGGTTTTGTCTTCGGTGGCGTTTGTCGAGAGATGCGTCGCCGTTACGATCACTACAAATCCGATTTTCTCGATGCATTCAGTTTGAATTGCTTTGTTAGTCTCGTCTTCATGTTCATTGCATGTCTTGCACCAGCCTTAACATTCGGTGGTATCATAGGTAAACGAAGATTGTTATCTCCAGGCAACGAACTCTCGTGAATTCTTCGTTCATTTAGCTGATAAAACAAATAATCGATTAGGTGTGAACGAAATGTTGATGGCCTCGTCAGTGAACGGCTTTCTATTTGGATTTGTTAGTGGACAACCATTGATGATCCTTGGACCAACTGGCCCATTTCTTGTCTTTGAAGAAATGGTTTACGATGTAAATATCTCTTCGCGCACAGCAGGATTAATCATGAATTATGTCTGTGAGAGGAAACTGTTCGAATGCATCTCTATTCAAGTGTCATATACTTCATTTGGAGATCAAATATACCTGCGAATAATGAAATATTTGTTTGTGTCTTTCTTCTAGCTCTGCCATTCACTACAAGCAGACTTCTGGACTGTCCGCTGTTGTGTTAGTCTTTGGACTACTTTTTTTATCATCATATTAGTGGCCTTTGAAGGAAGTTTTATGATTCGTCACGTAACACGATTTACCGAAGAAATTTTTGCACTTATCATTGCTGTTATTTATCTGTACGAGCCTTTCAAAAAACTATACAAGGTAAACTTTTTAGTCAGATGATTTTCTTAATCGTTCATTTTGACCTTCTCTCAGATCTTCCTGTTGAATCCCGTTCGATCGAACTATTATTACGATTATCCCTTATCTTGTTCGTGTAATATATCCTCGCTATTCAATACGACATTGCCATTCGAAAGTTCCTATCCATCTTCGGACAATTATTCGTTTTCGTCGTCCTTAGCGAACTATTCATGCTATCAATGCATACCACCAAAACGTTTTACGTCATCATCTTCATCTCTAAAAACAAACTATACATCGATTTCAAGTGATGAAGCTAATTTGCCGAATAAAGCACTTCTCTCATTTATTATTCTTCTTGGTACGTGCTTCATTGCGGTGGCACTGAAACGTTTTCGGCGAAGTAATTTTTTTGGTCGAACAGTATGTGCAAATCTGTCGAGAAGCACGTTATTGACTTTCTTTCCGTTTAGACGAGACAAACATTAAGTGATTTCGGAATGACAATTGCTTTGATATGTATGGTGCTGTTTGATATGTTAATAACAAGAAATGCTGGTGGTCATAGTTTAACTCAAGTAATGACTTGTCGAAGAAAGGATGGTTGCATAGGAATTGAACTGTTTGATTCTTGTAGAAAATTACTGTACCAAGGTCCATTCGGCCAAGTGATCGAGAACGTGGAAATCTATGGTTTATATCGCCATTTCGTCGCAGTATTCCGTATTGGGCTTACTTCGCATCATCATTTCCTGCTATACTGATCTCTGTGGTGCTGTTTTTTGAAGTAGAATTAACTAGGTAGGAAAGGATTATGAACATAGTATGATATAATTTTATTTGGCTTTTTTCTCTCCAGCATTATGATACAATCGAAACTCAAATGTGTTCATTCATCAAAAGTGATCAAAGGAACTGGTTATCATCTTGATATACTCATTGCAGGTAAGATCGACATCTGTACAGCATTTCTTACCAACAAGCTTCATCGCAGGTGTTTTGATATCAATCAGTGGACTGTTCGGTCTTCCATGGATCTGTGCAGCACCTGTTCGAAGTATTGCTCATGTTGCTAGTCTCTCACGATACAGTAAAACTCATGCACCAGGAGAAAAGCCTCGTCTAATTGATATCAAGGATCAACGCTTGACAAATATTGGCGTTCATATTCTTATTGGTTGTACGATATTTGCGGGGCCTATTATTCGTAAGATTCCAGTGGCTGCTTTATTTGGTATTTTTTTATACTTTGGTATTGTTTCCATCCCCGGCACACAACTATTCAGTCGAGTGAAGATGATCTTTATTCCAGCGAAGTACCACCCCAACGTTGGATATTTGAGACGAGTTCGTATTCGAATTGTTTTCTGGAAAGCCTCAATTTCGAGTATTATTTTAGGTTCGACAAACGAAACGTTTTATTTATACAATTATTCAAATGATCGCTGCTGGATTATTAATTTCAATCAAGATCACCAGCTTTGCTTTTCTCTTCCCATTTATACTTGTTTTACTTGTTCCATTTCGCAAATGGTGTCTTCCTTGTGTATTCACCGAACGAGAACTCAACGAAGTAAAGCTTTGCACTCGCGCCTTTCGAATCCACGCCGTTCATTTTCTCTTTCAGCTCGATGGAGACGAAGAAGAAGGAAGTATTTTCGACGACGAAACTGATTTCTATGGTCAAGTACATTTACCAATCTAATCATGCAATTAATCCGGTGGACTATTTTTACTTTTTATTTTATAAATATATATAGAGGCAAAAAAAAAGAATGAAACGAATACCTTTGTATATGTAAGGGAAAGAATCTTATTTTATCTACGTAGTTTGTTTCTTGTTCTCGTTTATTTTGTTAACTACTGTGCGTGTGTATTCTTTTTCGATTACCAACGTGAATTTGCGTCCCATTGAGGTTTTTCAGAATAGAACAAGTCTCGATTGACATGCCAGTGCAGAAGTTCGGCAACGATCGGTTGTTGTTCTTCAGCAAACTTTTTCCATAATTCATGTTGATCCATTACTTCTTTAGCATGAGTAATAAAATGTTCAATACAGTATTGTTTGACCAATTTATTGTTGTATTTGTACGCTGCTCTGAGCAATGTAAGAACATTGTTCGAATCAATGCGATTAACAAGAACTAGAACATGGAAAATGCTATGACTTTGGCTGAAGATCTAGATACGAGAAAGAAACTTACATCGACCTGTATGTACTTTTAGGTCTTTGATGTCATAGCGACCAGCAGCTTCGAGAAGATAAAATGCTAAAGAGATCATCAATCGAATCGGTGATGTTCGAGCGAAGGCTTCTTACCATTGCCTTCGTTGAGTTCACATTTCCCAGTGTACATAAAAACAACAACCTGTTTCATGATTTCAGGGTCAGTTTTATCAATGACAATAACCAGTTTTTCTTTCTCTGTTAACGTTTCCAACTGTTCTCGTATGGTTGAATCTAGCCGATTGAATTTACCAGAAATAACAGCTGCGAAAAAGAAGTTTTCAATCGATGATTAGTACCCTCCAATGGTCTCTCTTCTCCTTACCGGCAAAGGCATTTGAACGAGCAGCAAGAATACATTTATGAACAGCCATAAAAGTTCCTGAAAAAGAACAAAGTCATTCATTTGCATGGACACTATTAGAATTACCGTCAACTTTGAGAAAGCAATCGCTAATATCTGTTCGATTGAGTAAATTAGCCAGATCGTCAGATAAATGTTCCAACAAATTTAAACTATGTTCGGCGTCTGTTGTTTTAGTATAGAAAGAGCCTCCATTGCCGTATCGTTGATTAGTACCACTACCTTGTCGGTTTGAACCTGCATGTGGTTGTTGAAGTTGAGCGGAGTTCGTTCTGAGTTCAGACTCTCGTCTTGGTGGTGGTGGTGTTACACGAGTTTGTGATTGACTTCGATATTGATCGTTATCAGCCATTGATGAACGTAAAGATGCCGTTGCTGTGAAACTTGAATAGACGGTTCTACTTCGAGACTATTTCGCACGGACTATTTATCGAATGTGGGTTTTTATGATTATATGTATGAGAAGGAGAACTGTTAGTTTGAATATTGTCGTGGTAACTATCAATATGAAGAATGAAGTATTGGATAAATTGAAAAACTCTCGTTAGTATAACGGATTTTTATTTCGATCATAAATACTCGAAAGGAGATAAGAGAAATATTTTTACCACAGAAGACTTTAATCTACTTCTATATGAAAACTTTTAATTGAAGATAGAGTGCCTTGATTTATGGCCTTTTCTCTATGTGAAACAGTCGTGTCCAGTAGGAATATTTGATTTATGAAATAATGGCAAATTATATCAAATTGAGACTTTTATTTATCTTGATATCTAATAGTTTCAATATGTACTTTGATTTATCATCTGAACTAATAACATAAGCTGAAGTTTATCAGATTATGACGTTGCATATGTCAATAAATTGCAATATCATCAGCGGCAAAAGAGTACACTTCAATAAAGTGAATCGTTTGATGTTGGTTATACTATCTTGAATCTGGTCACAGTATTGACTAAGAAAAATATGTAGATGTGAGATTTCATATCATATGCATGTTTGATATAAATCTAGATTGGTGAAACGAAGGTACACTAGTTCAATTTGTCCTGATCTTTAGCGAAAACTGTTGAGAAAGTGATTCACCGAAACAAAAAAAACCATGTATCTTACACAAGCATCGATATGATATATGCAAGTTTATAGAAGAGGCAGAAAGAAGCGTGATTCTTCACTGATAATAGAAGTTATCTTGCATGGGCTCAAAGGAAAAAATTGAAATTATCAATTATATTAATAGTAAAAAGATCTGATAAACTTTTTGTCTTCACCTTTCACTGTCACATGATGAGATAGAACAAAAAATTATAGGAATCTTGTTACCTTCGTAGTTATTATTTTTCTGTGCATGCTAAACATTTTTACTTACATGAGTCAACTATCAACAGCCTACACTTAGCAACAAACAATGAAATCTTCGCATAAGTACTCTGTTCCCGACTCGAGTCGACAGATAGTACGTGATACCGTTCGCCAGTTTGATATGCTCGGTCAAACGAACTATACAATTTCATCACCACCACCGCCTTTACCTCCGCCACCGCACCGTCCATCGATTCCAATGAAGATTAACAATAAGCAAATCAATTCGAAAGACGATAGTCCAACATCTTCTCTAAATTCATTCACTAATTCGACTCATAGCGAATTGATAATGGATTCTGCCGCATCAGAACGGAGACATCTGGTATCAATTAATACATCAAACAGTACTCCTATTGCTAGACCTAAACCTACTCTTCCTTCACATACAGCCAATCGACCGACGAAGTTTCGAAGACGAACACCTCCGCCAATACCAACCGAATCAACACCAAGTATTGTTTCTCTTGAAGATCTGTTTTACATAACCTAACTCTATTCTATTTCATAGATAAGCAACAAAACACAATCTATATCAATCGCGATAATAAAACCAATAACCATAGGGATAAATATCAATATGGGGTTGAAACGGATTCGCCGCGAGCCTTCAAAGCTTTTGCCAGGCCAGCGACAGTTTATACTGAACAACGAGTGTCTTCGTCCGCACAAACGGATGAACTTGATTTATCAAGGGCATCTGCGAATAATAATCAACCTCGTCGAATTGAAAGACCACCTCCTCCGCCACTGCCACCGTTACCATTGCCTTTACAAGCGTCTTCAGTATGGAGATCGCAAGCGAACTACTTAGGAATATAGTGACAGAATGTTTTCTTTGAATTTAGAACCCATCAAAAGCTGATGGCCGTAGTAGTATCGGCTTAGAAATCATTAATCCAGAAACTACACCTCGTCGATATACTGCCATTCGTCAGAATGGACTTGGTCAGCGTCCTGAACGTATTAAACGTACACAACCGATCATCGAAGACTACGAAATCGAAGAAGAAGAAGATGACGAGAATCAAGATGGATCCTCGGAAACGGATGTTCATTCATCAGGGCAACGTCCACCACCATCTGATTTTGCCAAAACATACCTTCGTTCCAACCAAAAACCTACATCATACCCTCCGAATGACGACCAAACGTTCGTTCTCATTCTCAACTCATTGAAAAAAACGCATCACATTTTTCATTATAGATCTGAACGAGAAAGGACACTGCCAATTTCGAATTTAATGATGGAAATTGGTGCTTTATTAATTGTCTTCGTGGTTTGTATGGTGCTTGTCGTAGCCATTAAAACGGACGTACCGGGCCTTCAAACAACGATGCTAGTATGTCGCAACTTGGCAGAGTAAAACTTTCATTGCCGCACGTTTTTGTTCAGGGTGTTTACATTTACGTCTATGCCGTTTCAGTCGTATGGATGTTATGGTGCACTTTCGACATCATTAAATTTCGACAGCAATGGATGCAGCTAACTGGATCTGCTTCCACTCAAGAAGTGTATATGGGTCTTGCCGAACATCATTCAGATACGATGTTCTATTTTCCTGATGTTCATAATACTGGCGGATTGTTTATGAGAATCGGTGCTGGATGTGAGCATTGATTAGAAATCTTAGTTGAGATAATACTTTTCATTTCTAGTACTCTGTATGGGCAGTTTAATTCTGACATTAATTGAATTAGCTAAAACAATAGCAACTGTTGATGTTCATGGCGTAACCCGCACTGCATTGGAACCGAAATACTATTCGTCAGTATCAATAGCAAGATCAATTGCTTACGTGTTCCGTTTTCTGTTTCACTGCGTACAGTTTTCGTTTTTATTCCGCTACGGGAATGTGAGAATCAGAGACGAAATTATTCCTTTGTTTCTATCTTCTTTCTATTCTAGTTGATTATCAATCGCTATCATGCACTCGCAAAATTCGGACTACTACATTTGGTCATTGCCAATTTTTGCTCATGGTTCGAAGGTAAGAAAAATTACTCTGTTTTGTTCGACATGAACTGAAACTTTAACTTCCAATTTCTCCGTAGCTATTGTAATTGAGACATTGGAAGAAATACACAAAAACACACCCACAAAATTAGAAGACGTCACCACAGCTTCCATCGATTTCTTTGCTACGATCATAACAAGTATTTCTTGATGGATTCTTCCAAATGGCATGAGTGTTTTTTTGGTTTTTAGGCACTTCTCCTATTGATAATAATGGCAGTAATGACAGTCTGCTTCCTTTCATACGGGCCGCATCTGCTGATTCATCGGATGCAGTACCAAAAAACGGCAGTGCTCTGGCTATGATTCTAGATATTGAGGGCAAAGTCAGTGCTTATCTTTACCCATGTTTAATCGAATACAGTCTCATATCCTTAACGGTATTTTTCATCATGTGGCGAAATGTCGGTAAGACAGAAAAACGTTCTTTGTTACGTTTCGGTGCTCGTCACGTTTTCACTGTGAATTGTGCACGTGCTTCACGTGGTCTACTCATTGGTGGTATTTTACTTCTACTAACGATTTTAACATTAATACCAACTTATATGTTAACTACAAAGGAAGCGACAATCGTTACACATGTGACCGAGCTAGTCCTACTTGTTGTTGCGCTATTTACCGTCTTGATATCCTTTATGTATACATCAAAACTCTTATATGATCATCACGCACATGTCGATACATTTGATCAAGGTTTGATTTTGGTAACAACCATCGGCGACTTTGCCTATTCATTTTTCGGTTTATTCGCTGCGCTTTTCTTTGACAAAAGCAAAATTGGCATATCACTTGAAATCGAAATGTCTATTGGTTTTTTAGCCATATTTCAAACACTTTTACAAACAAATTTCATTTTGGATACATTGAAACGACGAACAAGGAATAAGCAAGAGATTCGAAGTAAACCAGGACGCGAAACAGTCACTGCTTTGTTATTGATGAACTTAGGTAGATGAAATCTTGATCGAACTTTCTAGTTTCTCATTTCATTTGAAATTTTCAGCTATATGGATGCACGATTCATTATCAGCAAAAAAAGTCAGATTAAATCCATTGCAAACAGCCTTCTATGATCCTCAGACATGGGCTATCATTCAAGCATTTACATCGCCGTTATCCATCTTCTATCGATTTCATTCGAGTGTATGTCTTGCAGATATCTGGCAAGAAGTGTATCAAGATGGTGATAAAGAAGAAAAGTATCGACTAGTGAATGGCAGAAATAACCATTAATGTGCTTGTTCAACTTCGATATTGATTGATCTCGTATATAATTCTTTGTTTTCTACATGTATGCAGCCAAAACAGAAGCTTTTTTCCCGACGGTTTTCGAAATCGCATGTTGTTTGTTGTGCAGTATATGAAATGAATAAACTATTCTCTATTCACTTGCCGAGTCAAAGTGCAATGTAATTCAATTTCGTCTCATGCTGTTTGCCAATCTGTCAATCTGATCGTGCATACAAGCATGATTTAATTTCGATATTTTGCTTCCTCTTGTCGACACGATGACTACCAGCGACATCGTTATCATGAACTGATTTGTCGTCTTCTGTAGTCAATAAAAAATTGAGTTGTTTCCATTATTATAAATACACGTCCCCTTTTCTCTTTCCTCTTCGCTATTCTTTTTTTCTCCACTGCATTGAAGAAAATAGCTATTTCCTAATATCAATCTTTTTCGACATGATGTAATCGATGATTATGGCGACATCGAATAAAAAATCATCAACATCACATGACGCTAGCACCGATACTGATGACGATATACAATATGACTCTGATTCACCGAAAGGTCAAGTCAATAATAACAATGAAATCTCATCGACAACAAATGTGTCTTCGAAACATCGAGGGTAAGCGAAGAAATAAAAAATGAGTTCGGTTGTCAACTTTTCCTATTGTTCTCTAGAACAAAGCGACTAAACAACAAAATGAAACCATGCCTTGTACATAGAACGTCAACAAGTGAT